AATGGGCAGGAATAAAAGAAGGGTCTGAAAAGTGTGTGAAAAGGGATAACAGATGGTACTTGAGTGAAATAGAATAGAAAATCTGAGTAAAGGAAGGAAGAAAACAGAAAAGGAGAGATTGAGCATGCAAAGCTAAAGAGCCCTGGGCGTTTTATCAAGGATAGTTAGTCCTTGGACTGGCTAGCTTCCAGCTTCACTAATTACTGTCTGATGGCTGAATCTGGTTGCTATTTTTGTTTACCAAGTTGAGACATTTCCACTTTTGCCTTTGGAATGCCATTCTGAGTTGTGGTATCTAAGTGAATTCATGCCACACATTCAGTTGAAAGATACTACAAAAACAAAAAAATAGCTGAGTGAAGTGGAAGCTAAAGACAAAACCCACAGATATTTCAATGCTGCTTTTATTAATTCAAGCCAGCACTTGCCAGTGAAGTACAAACTAGAGACCTGGCACATGACCAAACTGCATACATCTGTAAAATGCTTGGAAGCCCAGGTGCCTATGGACTATGATGCCTCCTCTATTATTCCTGTCATTGGGGTAAGAATTAGACCATGGTAACCAGAATCTGTGTAGGTTAGGGATCCCCCTACACGTGAACTTAAGACAAATTTCAAAGTGGGGTGACTCCATGGATTCTTCCTTAATCTGAGTTTTATTTAGGGTGCCAATGGTCCTTGAAAATCTACAGGACATCAAAGTCAATCCAAACAAAAATCTAGAATTTCTACATGCTTAGCAGATTTCCAGGGGTCTCTGTCTCCCTCACAAGATTAGAATCTTCCTATGCCTGGAACTAGACACATCTTAAAGTTTATTTTGTCTGATATAATATAGCCACTTCAGCTCTCTTATGGTTATTATTTGCATTGTGTATTTTTATTCCATCACTTTTCTTTCAGTCCACTTGCACCTTTCAAGCTAAAGTATTACTCTTTTAGAGGGCATATAGATCAACTTTATTCTTTTATCAGTCTGAAGATCTCTGCTTTTTGATTTGAGTGTTTAGCCATTTACCTTTAATGTAATTATTGATATGGTCAGAGTTATATTTGCCATATTGCTGTTTGTTTTCTATATGTCTCCTGTCTCATGTGTTCCTCTGTTCCTTATTTACTGTCTTTTTTTTTTGCTAATACTTGTAAATGATGCCAGGTCTTTTACTTCTGGCAAAAATTCTGTCTTTCTCTCGGATTATTAATAAAATAATACATTTGGTTTACATAATAAACAAGGCCAAATATGCTATCACTCTTGGTGATATTACCTCACCCATCTTTCCCCCTTCACTCTTTGCTCTTTGCCCCACCTCACTTATGCTTGAAGAAGTAGGTAAAGAAGTAATTATTCTCTATGCAGACTATAGAGAATTCTAGTGTGGCATATGTATATGTGTATAGTGGTTATTAGCTCAGAAGGAGAAGGAGGCAAGTAGGTAATTTTCTTCCTTATTGTCAACTTCAAAGCAAGGGAAAGTATTTGGTGACTATCATCCTTTTTTAATAGAGAAAAATTAAGAAATATATTATTATATTTTTTAAAAGTACAGAGTACTATATTCTTTATGATTTTTAGCATGTAATTTCTGGTACTGGTAAGATGGCTGTTTTAAAATTATTTCTTGTGGTTTTCAAATTACCTGCATGTTAGAATATATCCCCCTTTTACAATAAATGTTTTCCTCATTTAAAATTAATATTCACATATTTTTAAGCAATTAAAATAATATCGCTCTTATAAAGAATAAATAGACATAATCTTCAGTCTTCTTAATTCATGATCACTTCTGTTTGATGAATATTCCATTTGACATCTGCCTATGAGGATCACATTATTTTTATAATCAGAGTAAACGAAGGTAAGAAAGTAAATGTTATGCTATTCTCTGGATGTACAAATAATAAATCTTGATTTATACCATTTATTTTCCAGTGAATATATCCAGATCTTCCTTAGTAACTCCACCGTATTCTCTTCCTGGATAAGGGGTGAAGAGAGAGAAGAAGTACTTACTTTATAGTAAGGGAGAAAAGATAGGGCAGTGAAAATGTGCTCTGTCAAAACTTAGGTGGACAACCTGACATATAACCTCTTCATAATTCAGTCTGTGTCTTCTGTAACAATAGTTCCTCGCTCACCCCACAGCATAGTTTAGGACGAAATTTTAAATAAGATGGCCATGCGTTATTTTTACTAAAACTTCTTCCTGTATTTTCTTCTGGCCCTAATATGTTAAGTAATTTTATATAATAAACTATAAATTGAATAAAGAAAATTACTATTTTTAAATTTCTTGATTTTTTAAAATCTCACCTATGTAGTATAATCTATGATTATACTGAAGACTATTTATTATTAAAATAGCTCATTAGAAGAAGATATATAGTATTATAGATCCTGTGGTTTTTGTTTCAAGTTTGCAAAAAAACTATTCACATTGCTAAATCTTGTACAGGAAACACCACAGACAGACTTAATTTACTTTTTGCTTTTTCCTTTTTGAGCATTAAAGTGAAAACCTGCCAAAGCGTCAAAGAAAAAAAAAAAAAAAAAAAAAAAAGGTTGTACCTTCAGAAGAAGTCATATTAATTTTGGAAAAAATATATATATACACATACAAATCACAGCAATCACATTCTTCTTTGAAAAAGTCATTTTTTTTATTTAACATATAAGACAGGATGCTCATTTACCTTGACGTAAAATACACAGCTGATGCACCAGATAAGATAGAATTCTACAAAAATACCAAAGCTTTGACCTTCAATCAGTGTACAGGATATGCCATACATAGGACATTCAGAATGCTTTTTTACTCTCTCAGCTGTTTCTAATTATATCAGATTAAATGACTGTATTAACAGAATAATACATTTGGTTTGCATAATAAACAAGGCCAAATATGCTATCATTCTTGGTAATATTACCTTACCCATCTTTCCCCCTTCACTCTTTGCTCTTTGCCCTGATTTCTTTGCAAAATGGGTTTAAATGAAGCATATAATAAATTACTAGAATCAACAAAGGTTATGCTTCTTTGTTCTTGAATGCAATCGAAACATTTTCTTCTAATGAGTTTATCCAATTAATGTCTTGTAGAAATGCACATTCCCTTAAGTTATTCATTTTAGTGAGGCAAATAAAAAATATGCAATGAAATATAACTTTATGTTAGATCAGGCAGAACAGTTTATTGGAGTGACGGATGTTTCAGGGCAGTAGTTCTTGTATGCAATATTTTTTTTGCTAATAAAATGAATATAATTCTTTACACTGTTCATTAACAATTTTACAGTCTCACAGTAGTAATACACAGTATACCATTCTCCTTACAGGCCAATTTTTCCTAATAAGGAATGCAGAGCATCTCTTGCATCCTGAGTAATGTCAGGTAGTACCAGAAATAAAACAGTAAATGTTGAGTTCTCTTGTATAAAATGGTTCTTGAGTGAAGAGGGTCTGAGATATTGCTGCATTAAGTGATTGTTTTTACTTGAATCCAAAGTGTATTAAACTCCACGAAATTAGTCTTGCTTGGTTAATCTACACATCAGAATATACTTTTGCTCTTATTTAAACAACAATTTATTTATGCAAAGTACATGTGTTAGTATTGTGGGCAGGGTACATGGGGTCTGAGTGGGCTTAAAGTATTTTGAGGAGTAAGGATGTAGACATAAAAGAGAAATAGTCATCATCTCCCACTCCCTCATCCCCATTTTTTTTCCTGTCTCTCAAGGTGCAAAATGCTGCAGCAGCATGACAGAAAGATTGTCACCTGGCACTGGTCCTAAGTGTGGTGGCCCCCTTCTGCACAGTTACTCTGTAGAGGAAAGGGACAATTACGTTGGCTCACTGCTTCCCGTTAATCTCTCTCTACCTCTTAAAAAACAAGGATGAGGACAAGTAATGCAATCGAGAGATTTTTCAAGAGCACAGTTGGCTTTCATTGTGGTGTCATTTGGAAGATTTGCTTTTAAAAATCTGTCCCTAATCTAAGGGCGCAGATCAAACTGAAATAAAATGATTTAAACATTGGATCTCAGTCTATTGCAAAAGAATTCCTACAATTCCATACTTCATCTTTTCCCATAAAGATATTACCTGAAATATGCTAAAGCCAAATGTAATCGTAGTTATGAGTGTCACAGGTCCTTAGTTGACTGCCAAGATTTCCATGGTGTGTCAGATAATTAAAGTATCTCTGAGCGTCTGCTCACCAACAAAGATAACATCCCACCACCCAAGACCCTGCTATGGGCACAAGGCAGAGAATAACCTTGCTGAGGAAGCCCCATATCATCCCCACTGTGCTGCTGAGAAGAAAAGTCAACTGGAAGGCAGAAGGAAGAGAGATCCTACAAATTGGCTCTGGCTCCTACTGCCCAGTCTCATAGCATTGAAATTCTCCAGCCTGTGGGAGGAGGAAAATGCTAGGGAGTCTTGTATAAAGTTCTAAATTCATTAGCTACTGGGGAAAGCTTTTGGTATACGTAAAGTAGAGAGAAAAAAAGTACTGATCTCAGAGCAAGGAGTCCAAAGTTAGGAGTGATGAGTCACCCTTACATAGTTTTTGGTACGGTTAAAATATCAACGAGAAGCATTCCTGGGTGCCTGATGGAAGGTGCAGATCCTGGGGCATGAGAACGTTGGTGGTTTCAAGGGTTGAGCATAGGCCCTTTATAATGGGAAAAGGATCCATTCCCATTAGTTAGGAACTGGACTTCCTGGGTACCAGCTGCTATAGGGGACAACGGGGCTGGGGCTTAAGAGACTCCAGACGCTACTTCACATTTTCTTCTAGGTTAATGGTTAAAGGCTGTTACTTTGAATTTCTAAATTTAAGATTAAATTTTAACCTGAGGATCAAAGATGCTGATTTGTTCATCAGATTACAATGTTACAGTTTAACCCTATTTTTCTTATTCTCTCTAAGAGTGTTGTACAACAGTGCTTCCACTTAGAAACAGCAGCATTTAGCCTTTTGTAATGTGCCTTGGGTTTCCTTTCACTGCAGTTAACAGAATTAACACCTGGGGATGGTTTCAGAAATTCTGTGTCAAAATGGTGTAGAATCAGCAGTCTGATTGGAAGGACTCACCTTGAAACTGTTTGCATTTAAAAGCCTGCTATTTAGAATTAAACTGTACATTTTAGTTATAAATACAGCATCCACGTGAGGATTTTAAGACCCTTCTTTTCATTTTTTAGATGATTTCCATGGGTGAGGTTGGTGATTGTTGGGTGCATTTGGAGGGCCATTGAAGAGCTAAATCCTGCTAGCTTCCCCAGGCACAGTTGCTGATAGTATCCCATAACAGTTTGTAAATGTCTTAAAGATGTTCCAGCTTGGAAGTATATTCTGCTTTGCCCCTCCTCCATTATACTGTGTGAACCCTTTAGAACACCACTGCAGAACAAAACACTGAAATCCTGTATAAATGATTGAGTCACTGAAGCTGGAACTCGGAGCAAATGCTTTATTAACAGATTTTTCTCTAGTAGTCTTGAAAATCTCCCCTGGGGGAGAAAACTGGCAAAAGGGGGCCTGAGAGTTGTTGGAGGAAATGAAGAGTACATAGGATGCTATTCTGAAAAACTGATTTGTCAGAAGCCACTTTATTTGAACAATAATGTGACTGCACCTGGCACATGAGACAGGCTCTGGGCCTGTTTCTCAATTTGGTGGTGAAAAGCAAGACAGTCAGTTCCCATGGAGTAGATTGTAGCGTGTTGGACAAGGACATTCCCCTGTGTGAAGGCACACTACATGGAGCCAGCAGGGCCACCATTCACAGTGTGCAAGCTGTGGCCTTGGAGAGAACACGGGCAGGGCTTCCCCAGCCTCTACTATACCCCAGCTTTACTCCATTGATTACAACAATGGCACTTTTTTCTTTTGGTGTAAATATTTCCATTTTCCAATTGAACCTAGACTTTGATTTTATAAAAGGAAAAGAGAACATCCATATATGTAAATATCTACATGTGAGTGTATGTATATATGCTTTTATAGATAAAATTATTATGGCTGCAGAAGCATCAAATTTTGTAAAAGTATCTCTTTACTACAAGCCTCTTTTCAAGCACACTTATGACACAGAAAATATTCAGAGATTAAATTGCCCATGAATCTAGTGCTCAGAGGAAAATAGCTTGACACATTGGACCAATGAAGTTGAAATTTGATCACAGAAGTTAAAAATATTTACAAAGTATCATCTTTTGTAATGTGTCTCACGGGATTCTGGATTCCTTGTGAAAATGAGACAACTTTTTTGTGGCTGCTGTGTAGGTCTGATTTTCACTGTGGATCACCCTTTGTATTTTCCTTCTTTCAACTCCTTCCTTCTCCTGCAAGTTCATAACATTTTATTAATATCAAAAGAAGGTTATAATTTTAGAAATCAAAATTAAAGAATGGCTGTTGTGTAGCATTATGTCTACTGGACTTGATATAATCAGTACTTTTGGCATAATTTAAAATATGAACATACTGTGTGTCATTGGATATTTATATAGACACAACATATTCTCTATCAGTCTCTGTCTATCTGTCTGTCTATCTATCTATCTATCTAATCTATCTTTTTTTTTTTTTTTTTTTTTGAGACGGAGTCTCGCTGTGTCGCCCAGGCTGGAGTGCAGTGGCGCGATCTCGGCTCACTGCAAGCTCCGCCTCCCGGGTTCACGCCATTCTCCCGCCTCAGCCTCCGAGTAGCTGGGACTACAGGCGCCCGCCACCACGACCGGCTAGTTTTTTGTATTTTTAGTAGAGACGGGGTTTCACCATGTTAGCCAGGATGGTCTCGATCTCCTGACCTCGTGATCCACCCGCCTCGGCCTCCCAAAGTGCTGGGATTACAGGCTTGAGCCACCACGCCCGGCCTATCTAATCTATCTATTGTGTAATCTGTCTCAGTGGTGTGCTGAAGTCAGCTCACACTGGTTGGTAAGAGCTGGCAGATACATTTCCAAGAATTTTGTAAGCTGATTAGGGTCACTTTGGTAGTTTGAAAATGAAGAGAGAATATTTAGACCATGGAAATTGGCAAATGATACAAATCAGAGACTTCCTTTCCTTCCTGGACAGTGTGTTGTTAAATAATTTACCAATATACCATTGTAGTTTGGTCAGAAAAGAGAGCGCATACATGGTTCAGTTTGCAATGGGAGCAACAATCAATTATTTAGAATACCAAAGTTAGAGAAAAAGAAAATTTTTGGCAATTTAGCCAATAAGTTTATAAATAGTCTTAAATATCATTTTCTAATTAAATGTTTTAAAAGTAAATGATAGAGTCTAGTATATTTCTTAATCATTAAATATGTTTTATAACATTTGTACAAAGCTATTTTGAAACATCTGTTGACTTTTTTAAATCAAATGCTCTGAGCTTGTTTTTTAAATAATTGCAGAACTATAAGTTAAACCTAAATATTAATAAAAATGAAACTATATGAAAAGCAGATGAATCAAACTTGTCTTGCAAGTATAACTTTTGTGTTTATTTTCTGTAAACTCTGTTTTTTGGTGTTACCGAGCTATTTTTGTATTCAATTTATATGTGTACATGTGTCTGCACATGCACACACACACACACAAACAAACCTCAAAAAATTTTAATATTAGAGAAACAGGACTTCTGGTTCATGAAATAATTTACTTAATAGCCAGGAATGACTTATGTTAAAAATTGTGCCAGGCTTGTAAGTATCTCTGATCTGGCCAACAGCTCTTCCTCTCTTTTCTAAAAACTTCAAAATGCCCTCATTTCTATTTTTTACCTTTCAGTTAACAATTTAGTTTAAAAGTGCACACTCATGGTTCAGTAAATGGGCTTTGTCTAGTAGTCACAAATGCTGAGTATGAATTTCAATGTATCTGTTAGCTTTACTACTAAGAACTTGCTGAGATTGGAGCAGGGCTTCTGGGCAGGCTGAGCACTGGGGGTGTGCAACATGGTTACTCCGAATAAGAGAAACCCTGAGTTCTACTGCGCAAATAAAGAATAAGTGGAAGGTATGATTTCTGAACCTGGAGATAGCGAAAATGAAGGAAATTCCAAAAGCATGTATTTCCGAATAATGACAGGCTAGCAAGAGGACACCAAACCTCTAAAAAGAAGTATTCTTTCTTCCAGCTACTGATGGCTTTGGCGTCCCATAAGCACATCCCTTTGACTTTCAGGATCTTAGATGCAGATGTGGAGAGTCAAGAGGTAGGCTGACTCTGAATCTTCAGCTAAATTCTTTGAAAATTAGTTTGAAAAAAATAAATTTATAACATTTGATTTCTTTGTGGATTTGCTCCTTTTTTAACAAAGCAGACCCCAGGAGTTTCTGGATAAATACATGTTCTGGTCTTGTTACAGGTTCTGGTAAATCAGGTGGAGAAATGGAGTTTTTGCAGAAATGTCAGCAAACTTTACAGCAGTAGTTCACACATGCAGCTACTATACATTCATTCATTGCTATTTTCCTAAGAAATGGAGCAACCTAGGAGCTTATGCTACAGTAGATTCCAATGAACCATGAAGACTACTTCAAGAACAAAGAAGCACATACAAAGGTGTGATATCTTTCTGTTGGTTCGAGTTTTCAAACCTGAAATTCTTTAAAATACATTTCTGGGATTTTATTTAAATATTGATGCACTGCACTTAAAAAGCAGTGACTTCTTGGTAAAATGTAATACTGAAATGGAATATTGTCTTTTCACAAAAATAAGAAATGTGGTTGGAAATTAAATACCTTTAAAAAAATTAAGAATAAACACAATCTCACAGCTTGGGGGTTTGAATGAACCCTGTACCAAGAAGTGGAGACAACTCCTTCTTTGGGTCACATACTGGAACCCTTAGCATTCAAAAGCTGCTCAGTAAAGATAATTTCAGCATTTCAGTGGCATCTTTCTCTGCTGTCATGTTTCATTCAGAAGCCATTTTAGCATGTCCCCCACATATGGCTTTTCATGACAAATCACTGTGATGCCATACAAAACTGCTTTAAGTGTTTTTTCAGTATAAAAGAGTTTTGCATTTAGAGCTCAATATCAAAATTAAGTATGTTCTGTAAAAGCTTAATTTAACCCATTTAGTATACTTGTTTTTAAATGAGTCGATCCTGATTTTCCTTCGTAGATAAAATTTCAGCTCAATTGCAGTACTTTCCAATCACCTTGGGGCGGGGAAGAAACTTTTTAGGTATAGAACCCAACACAAAGATGCTAAATGTATTCTTTGTGACTTAATTTTCAATCCATATTGTATATGGATTCTACCAAGGGAAAATGTTCTCATTTGGATCGGGAGAAATTATCTTTTTCAGGTAATTCTTTTCTTGGCATTTACAAGTGCTGACTGTCATGCTGAACATGGATATCCAACAGGAATCAAGGGGAAAAGCTTAATTTATATTGTTTTGAAAATAGATGTTTCCATGATCATAACAATCTTCTTATGTATTCCTTAAATATTTTGGATGGTGATTTAATACACAAACATATTTGTACAGGATTTTTAAAAAACACTTTGTAATTTTGCTTACTCAACAAAAATGAGTAATTATGTAAAATATTTTTTATCATTTTATAAATTATGTCTTTTTGGTATTGTTTTTGGATAATGCATGACCTGTCATTTTCCAAATAATGAATCCCTGATGGATTACATAGTTATATGACTATGTCATGAACTATACATTTCTTGTCACATATTTGAGGCAAACCTGAGGATAGATTATTGAATAATTGTTATTATTTTCTTTTGTAAAATATTTCATTTCTCCATTTTCTTTTTCAGTGGTCTTTTGAAGAATCCAATCTGTTGAGAAAACACAAAACATAACACAATTAACTATTTTAATTTAGGTAATAAATATTAATCCTTTTGGATAGAATTAAATGTAATAATATATTGGCAATGCTGGACACACAACTAATATAATTAAGACATATTTTCTCATTGACCTATTAATATTCAATGTCAAAAAATGACATTTATTAAATTGCTGTTTCTTTTTTTTTTTTTTCTTTTGAGAAAGAGTCTCACTCTGTCGCCAGGATGGAGTGCAGTGGGGTGATCTCTGCCCACTGCAACCTCCGCCTCCTGGATTCAAGTGATTCTCCTGCCTCAGCCTTCTGAGTAGCTGGGACTAAAGGCATGCGCCACCATGTCCAGCTAATTTTTGTATTTTCAGTAGAGACGGGGTTTCACCATGTTGGCCAGGATGGTCTCTGTCTCTTGACCTCGTGATCTGCCCGCCTCGGCCTCCCAAAGTGCTGGGATTACAGGCGTGAGCCGCCTTGCTGGTCCGCTGTATCATTTTTAACATTTTCATTGGTTAAATATATCATGACCCCTAGTAAAATATAGTATACCTATTGAACTAATTAAAAGTTTCTGGGAAAATATTTTGAGTGACAAACAAACTGAAATTAGCTAGCATTGTCTCAACTTTGCCGTCATCTTTTTTTTTTTTTTTCAGGGATGTGGCAGAGAAATTTCCATCAAATGATCGATGACTGTAGGTTGAAGTCATTAGAGATGGTAGCGAATCTGACAGGTATATTATGACTAGAGCGTTAGGGAGATTTCTGAGTTGTCTGTATTAACTTTAAATGCATCAGGATGTCTGCTTATATAGATCTGATATAAAAAGCCTCTTGAAATACACTACGTCATTTGGAAATAAAAAATGAATTCGTTGGCCATAAGAGAAATTTCACATTGTGGTGAATGGTGAGCCATATTTCAGTACGCTTTGCAATTTGGGGCATCATAAAATGTTCTAAGTGTTGCAATTGTTTCCCATTCTATAGAATAACAAAACTAAGTATAGGGGATAGAAGGGATCTTTACAATTATCTAACCTAAAATGCTTATTGAAAAAAAAAATTAAGGGTCATAGATAAGTGTTTTTTCAAATTTGTACATATTTTTTAAATTTGAGAGAGAGCTATAATAGATCGAGCAAAGGCAAGGAGTTAATTCTTTGAAAGTGTGGTACCTCTATATCATTTTAATCACAAAATTATGGCAAATTATGCCAGGGAACGATGTATTTATAAAATAATTATTAAGCAACTGAGGGCTGAGAGGGGATAAACCCTCAAAAATATGCACTTTTAGGTTAGAAAATTTTTATTCAGGGCTTATGTCTTCTATTATGCCATCATCTAGGTGGTGGTAGATGAAGAAAAGGTGGTAACAGAACAAATACACATGAAAACAATAAGTTTGTCTTCCCCAAATGCCAGCTCTCCTACATGTCTCAGGCTTTTTTATATGAGCCAACTGTTAAAGTTTCAGATTCACAAACCATTAGGCTTCTCAACTGGTGCCTGCATGTCCTGAGTCAAAAATAAACACACAAGGCTTCACAAAAGCAGGTGATGGATTCTAAAACTTTTTCTCCTTTTCGTTCTGCTTTGCTTCTGATCTCTCACAGATCTTTTTGCTTTTCTACAACACTCCTTGGCTTCTACACATTAAATGTTCTATTTTAAAATAACTTCGGTTATCTAAGCATTCCACCCAACCAATTAACATGGGTTTTTAAGAGAAGTTAAGTGACAAAGAGTGGAGATTAGGAGAATATAGTTTATAGCTTCAAGGTGGACTGGGCCAATCCTAGCCCAAATCTGAAACAAACAGTTTGCTTTCAGCCCCAACACTTTCTTTGTAGCGCTGGCTTTCCTTTCTTTCTTCCTGTGTTTATTTCATGATCCCTTGTTCAAAACCCTATGGCAAAGGGTCTGATGAAATGATCTCTGTCAAAAAAGTAGGTGCTTAATGAATATAACATGGAATAATTGCTGAATAAACAAATTCACACTAATGTATAAAAGACTAAAAAGTGGTGAGATACCAGTCCCCATCCACACCTCCCAGAACATGTATATTGAATGAAGGATAAAACTTTAGGATTAATAAATAAATCATCAGTTGAGGAACTTCAGGCATCATTATGATGTCAAGTTAGGAGAGCGGAACGTTCTGAATCTCTCATGGTTCCTCGTGGGCTGAAGTCATTCTACTTTATTGGATATGTTGGCCTGGCTGGGCATCTCCCCCAGCGTGTAGTACCATATTTCAGGACAAGTTTCTCCATCTATTTAAACCTACGTCCCCTAAAAGATTCCTCCCATCAATCATGAAGTGTACTAGGCAGCTACTATCACTTTGTCAAGCTTTAATTTTTGTCATGTGTATGACGAAGACAAAGATATAAAGACTGTGTCTTTTGAAACTGAATCTCTGCTCTAAGAGAAATTTTTGGCCTGTCTCTCACACAGAGACTCAGACTTTGGAGTCCAATGGACCTCCAAAGTTGTGGGATTCAGGAGAGGAAGGAAGAAGGGATAGTCCTGAGGTGTCTGATCCAGATCTAGTTAGTATAAAAAAGATGTCTGGGATAAGAGTAGCTCTTCTGAGCCTACTGCAACTGAATTCATGCTTCAGGGAGCTTCCAACTGAACTTTAAAGTAGGGGGAAGTAGGATTAGCCTTCTTGATATAATGGAACTACTGAAAGTCTGAATCCAACTAGGGACCCTCATTCCAAAACCAAAGACAGTATTATGTGTTTCAGAGAGTTCATGACCCTCTTGAACAAAACCCGACTCCTGGAGCTCCAGAGTAAAGAGCTCTGTTCTACAGCCTGCAGCAGTACGACATATTGGAAAAAGCAAGAGCTCTGTAGATCATTCCTTGAATCCACTCATTTACTAGCAAGTAATCGTGGGCGAGTCACTTTACTTCCCTTTGCTTTAATGTCCTCAGGTATAAAATGTAGTTAAAATATTTGGTCGAAAAGATTGTTGCAAGGACACCAGAGGGAATGGAAGCAAGAGAGAACACGGAGTAATAATAGTCAGTGGTTTTGGCACAGAATTCAGATCCTTACTCTGAATCTCACTATGTGTCTTTGGGAAATACACTTAAATGTTACGTTCCTCATTTACAAGAGGAGGTTCGTAAGACCTCATAAGGTTGATATGAGTATTAAGTGGAAATGTTTAAAGCAGAAGTGTTTAAAACAGTTCCCTGCACATAGTAAGCATTCAGTAAGAGCTAGTTTCTTCCCTTCTGCTTTGGAATCACAGTTCTGATTGCTGGGCCTCCCAGTGAAGTTGTTGAACTATTTCTACTGGGTAAGACAGCCCAAAGTTTGTCAAATGACATTCTTTTGGACCTACAATAATAATAATAATAACCTAAGAAGCTGTCAGAATGTATCAACACATCATTATCTGGATGAAATAATGCGCTTATTTTTACATTTATGCTTTTTCAGACTACTGACTGAAAAATAGGTAACTGAAATTTCCTATTTGTCTGTCTGAAATAGAGGTACAAGGCCGGAAAGAACCTATTCAAATATCAGCTCTGGTTTTCCTCTTCTCCTGTCAGTGGTGTCCTAAAACCATACAGGTAAGTGCAGTGCTCAGAATAGAAGACTAGGCTGAAAAAAATCAACAGTAACACTCTCTATTAGAGGTGCATATAAATGAAGAAACCACTTCCTGTATTTCAAGTACAACCTTGACACAAATAAGCCAGGCCTTGGGTACCACACAGTGGCAAAGCTAGGTATTACACAGAGAACACTGATCCCTTAGAAGTAGAAGGAAGAGCTAGACATGGATATAGTGGAGAATTTTGTTTGGGGAACTTTGCTGGAGAAAAGCCGTGGATTCTATTTACTGAATTAAATGCCACTGACCTACATCTGGCTTTGTTTGCCGTCTCCTCTAAGACTAAGCCCCTCAAAAGAGGAAGTGAGTCATAGGAGAGTAAGAAAGGATAGGAACGGTTGGTATTTCAGTGGGAGAGAAACTTGCTGTTTAAACTATTTGATTAAATAATTATGTTGCTCAGGTAATAGAATAATTAATATGTAGCCACAATCTATATTTTTAACATAAGTTAACTATTTAACAAAATAATAGGTAAAATATAGGGGGATATTATGCTAGAATAAATACCTATTTGATATTTAATTGAAAAAACGTTCAACTTTGTATGGGATGTTATTCTCTATTTAACTTATCCCAAAAGCTGTCATTTCAGTTCTGCTTAATGTGAAAATTATACAGTTTCTAAGAGTTTTAAAAATCATGTCTATTTCAGCCTAAGCAAAATATCTACATAAATATCCAGAGCTACTTGACACAAAATAGGTGGTTACTGACTTTTACCATAGAATTGGAAATAGGAGTCTGTGAAACTTAAAGACCTCCCCTACATCAGCCGATCCCGCACCCTCCACTCAGGCACACAATTTATTACATAAAATGTGCCATGTCTATTTAAACATTAAAGAATTATTTGATGTTTAAGACACATAGAGATGTGTGATTAAAACAAGGCTTATGTTAACCATGAATCTACTGCTTATATATCCTTCAATTGGCATAGGAATTCATTTTTCTTTCTCTATAAAAGACAGTTTTCATTGTTCTCTATTTACAAAATAAATACATACTTATTATAAAATTTTAATTGTTACAGATATATGAAAGTCCCTTATTGTCCTAACTCTAGAAAGATACTTTTGAGATTTTTGAATATTTCTAACCCCAAATAAGTTTTTTTTCCTTCGCAAAAATTGGTTCAAGTTGTATGCAGTGTTTGAAATACACATTTTTCTTTTTTCTTTCTCTTAGTCATCATTTCAACATTTGTTTCATTGCTGTGATAATACTATATTGCATAGTCTGAATAGATCATAGCTTATTTCTCCAGTTTGCTCTTGATGGTTGAAGTAGAGAGTCAAAGGAATTTTGGTGTTTACCTTCCACAGTGCTAAAATGAGCAGCATTAACAGCAATAATCCAGCAAAAGCACTCAGCAGGATGACCCATAATGGCACTCTGCCCGGTAGTCCATCTTTGGATATTTGAATAGCAAGCTGAAAATTATTAAACAAGATTGTTAACATGATAAACACCTATTAGAACTCCTGGAATATTGAGTTCTTGCAGGCTACAACTCTCTACCAGTGCATTAATCTCGTTCCTATATACAGAGAAAATATTGTTTACATTAGAAAATGCCCTTCATCTAGTCTAAATCTCTAACTACGTCAAATGTATTATTACCAAAAGGTATTTATAATCTTATCCTTCAGAAATTTATACATAAAGAGTTAGATGTCAATGAATTGGAATGCTCAAAGGGAGGAGTGAATTTCTGTTTAATTCAGGGAGAACCAAAGTATTATGTGTGTTAAAAATTAATTAGTAGACTACTGTATTATCACAACAGCATTAATTTAGGTTGGAATGTCACAGTTTGTTGTCATAAAAACCTGAGAAAGTCTCCTTATTTTATTTCTAGCGTGCTTCATTTTTTGTTTATAAATTGAAAGTATAATGCATAAATCTCAAGTGTACGGATAAGTGAATATTTGCATATATATTCACTCCCAGTGTGCTCTTCATTATACCACAATGTCTCTTTCACTTGACTTATCACTGAGTCCACATTAAATCAGGTTTTAACTGAAGCAAACCTGTAACATGGACCGCTTTTAGTGTTCCAGCTACTCAAGCTCTCTCAAGGTGGCACTCAAACCTCAATGAAACCTGTCTGCTCTGTGTCCCATCCCTGGGATATTTGAAAAAAGTTAATTTAGGGTAGATATCAATGGCTAGTAATAGTTTGAGCCCTGTACTTGCCTTTAACAGTAACACCTCAATTTCTTTACCCAGAGGGAAGATTAGGGAGAAAAAGAAACCAACAGGGAGAGATCAAATCACTCCAGGTAGGTGACAGAGCTGGCAAGAATGTAGACATATACAGCATCAGACCATTATGACAGTTTCTTAAAACAAAACAAAACAAAACACAGACAGGGTTTCACTATTTTGCCCAGGCGGACCTCAAACTCCTGGGCTAAAGTGATCCTTCCATCTCAGTCCCCCGAATAGGCTAGGATGACAGACATGAGCCACTATGCCCAGCAAGGCAGACTTTAAACACATGCAAAACAATTCCCTGAACTTACAGACATGGAAATTGGAATCTAGATAAGATCAGTGACTTTCCTCAGATCACACAATTACAAAATGATCACTTTTAGTAATTTTATCAATATAGATACATTTTTCCTTTAGGATGAATGCAGAACAAATATTTCCAGGGGAATTTTTAACTAATATTTAGGGGAAATAAAACTAATTATAAAATTTTAACACACATATTTGGGAATCAAAATCACTTTCCCAATATAAACCATACTCAAACTTTTCAGGTTTTGGTGATATGTTGGCTATTCTATGTAAGGAACAACTTTGCATTTTGCATTGCTTATGCTAAACGCTCTTTATGACATAAGTAAACATTATATGTATGTATTTTACTTTTTCTTGAAAAGTGTATACTTATCAGAAGTCATTGATATTGGAATAATTTGAAATAAGCAATTTGAAAAGAACATCTGAAAGTTAGGGAGCTTCCAAATTGAATTTTATGATTCACATGGTGCTGTTTGTCCACATGGGACATTTAAAGTCTCCCATGAGAAGGGGGGAGATCATGCTGAAGTGCCTGCATGTATAACAAGTACTTATTTTATTTTATTTTTTTAGAGATGGGGTCTAACTCCGTCACCTTCGCTTATTAATTTATAAAAGGACAAGAGTGAAAAACTCAAACCTTTCTATTTTTACTAAGGACTGAAGTTCGAATTTGTATTAGGAAATACCATCTCATTTTTGTTTCAAATTTCTCAATGAAATTTGAAAGAAAACTTTAAAAAATGTACATGTTTTCCTGTACAATATAAAGGCATTTTTTATAAAGAAGTTATTTTTTGAGGCTGCTCTTCAGATGTCAGCTGCATTTTATAATGTCAGCTTTTAAGGAGGAAAATTACAACTGCATCATTTGTTATCAAAGTGAAAGTAAAAACATCCATTCACCATGATAGTTGTAAGTGATAAAGTCAAAAGTGGCATGTGAATTGTAAATATCATGATTTTCCCAGTTTCTTACAAGGAAGAATAAGACTAAAATCACACTTGAAGCTAATGAAGTATAATTTGAAGCAAATAGTGTCTGTCACTTACTGAGAGCAATACCAGTCACTGCTTAAGGGACTATCAACAATTATAAAACATTATGTCACAAAATTCAGAGTGAAATGCATAATGTTTTCAAAACTCATTGTTGCACTTACCTCTCTTTTTTGATTGCTGCTACTTAAAACCAGTGATGTATTTTCACTCCGAAGTTCTCCCCTTATAGTAAGATTTAAGCTGGAAAAATATGACTGAAAAGCAAATAGGATTTGTTCTTAATATATTATGCTAATCAAAATGACAGCTAGTCATGTTTGAGTAGGACATTTATAAAAGCTAAGATTTTTCTGAGAGATTAAAAATTCCAATTTTGTTAACTTCCAAATGGAACTGGTAGGATCAAATAATAACTGTGCACTTGTCCTCCCTCGTTTGCCACTGAAAATCCTTACTTAGATCCTGGTTATGGAATGAAATTTTTTTAAAAAATATTTTCTATTGATTTGTCATTAGGAAAAACAAATCTCAAACTGCCTACCTTTAATGTAGCAAGACATGAAACAGCTACATTCTGGTGATGAAGTTTATCTAGGCACTTATTTAGGATTAAAAATGAAATTGATGATCTGGGGGGACAAGATGGCTAACTAGACACAGACATCTCTCCCACTAAGAGATCCCAAATTATCAAGTAGACAATATAATTTAGGCAGATCTGATCTCTAGGGAGAAAACACTGAGAGTGTGTGGAGAGGCAACACAGATGCCAAGGCTGAAGATGGAGAAGCTGGGAACCCTGCGTAGGGTACCTGAATGCTTGGGCTACTTCCTGGCTCCAAATGGCTCCTGGAGAAGGGGTGAGGGAGGGGACTGAGGGACAGCTCACTCTCGCCACAGACATCTGGGATCTAAGCTACAGGGTACCCAACATCTCCAATGGATGTGTGAGCTGGCAGGTGGATTTTCCCAGGGAGTAGGTAGAGATAGGGTTTCAGCTAGTGTGCAGCCCAGGAGCTTTTGTGAGCAGAGCACAGACATAGGTGCTCATCTCCTCGGACTCCCCATCTCCTTCAGGGAGGCTCTAGCCCCCGGTGATCACAAGCCAGGAGAGAGCAGGCTTTCCCCATGGGGCTAGGGCATGTCTGTTCTCCAGCCTCTCCCGTCTGCCAGACCCTCCTAGAGTCCCTGCCTAACTGCCCCACAGGAGCATGTACACAGCGCAGTCTCTGCTGCCCAGTATGGGTGCTGCGTCCCACCTGAGTACTTTCCCTGTGACCTGGGAGCACTTCGGATCCTCCACAGCAACCAGAGCCTGACTCTGAGCTGTGGGGTGTTCTGGAGACCCAGAGATGGTATGTCCAGCTCAGAAGTACCAAGCTGAGATCTATGGCTGGCACTCAAGGGGGGAGCAGCCCCCATCTCAGACCACTGAGACAGGTAACACACATGGATTTGTGGGCCAGTGTGGGCCAGCACTGGGACAGGGCATGACTCCCTCCACAGGGCTGGTTCGGAAAAGGTGTCACTTATCTCCCTGTCATGGCCTCTGCCCGAGGGAGCCTGTGGCTCAGAACACCTAACAAAAGAAGCATGGGTACAGTGCCAGTGATCGGAGGAGGCCTCTCCCCACCCAATGCAGAGCATACCTGCAAAAATGAGCAAATACATGAGTGGCAAGACTAAGAGCCTATCTACTGCCCATTACCCTTTAGTGCCCTCTACTGGATCACTGCTCAAACAACAACATCAAAAATCACTTTGCTAATAAACACTCCTGTGAGCATTCACCCACAAATAAAGATCCTGTACAGAGCCTTGGTCCTCTGAAAGCATCCAAAAAACAAACCCAAATGACCACACTCAACTTACACCACAGTTAAAGAACATCAGTCCCCCAATGACAGCATCAAAATCTCATATATCAATATGAACCCTGAATGTAAAAGGGTTAAACACCCCCTTAAAATACATAGAGTAGAAAGGTGGATAAAAAGACAAGGCCCAACTGCATGCTGTCTTCAACTCATTTCACAAGTAACAACACTCACAGGCTCAAAGGAAGCGGATGGAGAACAATGTACCATGAAAATGGAAAACAAAAATAGGTAAATTCCTGGAAACATGCAACCTCCCAAGATTGAAGCAGAAAGAACACGAAAATCTGAACAGACCAATAACAATTTCTGAAATTGAGTCAGTAATTAAAAAACGTATTAACCAAGAAAAGCCCTGGACCAGATAAAGTCACAGCTGAATTCTAACAGATGTACAAAGAAAAGCTGGTACCAAATTGAAACTATTCCAAAAAATTGGAGAGGAGGGGCTCCTCCCAAACTCATTCTATGAAGCCAGCATCCTCTTGATACCAAAATCTAGCAGATACAAAAACATAAAAAGAAAACATCAGGCTAATATCCCTGATGAACAGAGACACATTTTTAACAAAATACCGGCAAACTGAATCCAGCAGCGCATCAAAAAGTTAACACATCATGATCAAGTAGACTTTTTTCCTGGGATGTAAGGCTAGTTTGACACATGAAAATCAATAAATGTGATTCACCCCATAAACAGGATTAAATGCACAAACCATATGATCATCTCAATAGATGCAGAAAAAGCTTCTGATAAAAATCCAACACCCCTTCATGATAAAAACTTTCAACAGAGCTGGTAGGTGGATTTTCCCAGGGAGAAGGTAGAGACAGGCATCAAAGGAACATAATTCCAAATAATAAGAGTCATCTGTAACTATTCCTAGACAATATCATACTGATATTGCTGACAATATCATTCCAGCTTTTGCTGGAACCATTACCTGGGGAACTGGAATAAGATAAGGATGCCCACTCTTGCCAGTCTTATTCAACCTAGTACTCTAAGTCCTAGACAGAGCAGTAAGGCAAGATAAAGAAATAAAGACATCAGAATACGAATAGAAGAAGTCAAGCTATCTTTTTTCACTTGTAATATGATCCTATACCTAGAAAACCCTTAAGACTCTGCCAAAAAACTCCTAGAATTCATAAATGACTTTAGTAAAGTTTCAGAATATAAAATAAGTGTACAAAAATTAGTAGAATTTCTATACACCAATAATGTTCAAGCTGAGAGTCAAATAAAGAACAACTCCATTTACAGAAGCTACAAAAAAGCACTGAAATATCCAGGAATACAACTAACCAAGGAGGTGAAAGATCTCTAAAAGGCGACCTACAAAACACTGCTGAAAGAAATCAGAGATGAGACAAATAAAAGAAAAAACTTTTCATTTAATACCATTAAATGGCCATACTGCCCAAAACAATTTAACATTATTGCTCTCAAAGTATCACAGAATTAGAAAAAAATATTCTATAATTCATATGAATCTAAAAAAAGAGCTCAAGTAGCCAAAGCAATCCTAAGTAAAAAGAACAAAGCCAGACCCATCACACTGCCTGACTTCGAACCCTACTATAAGGCTACGGTAATCCAAACAGTGTGATACTGGTACAGGAGAGTCACATGAGCCAGTGGAACAGAATAGAGAATTCAGAAATAAAGCCACATACATACAGCCATCTGATCTTTGATAAAGCCAACAAAAGCAAGCAATGGGGAAAGGACTACCTAGTGAATAAATGGTGTTGGGATAACTGGCTAGCCATATGCAGAAGAATGAAACTGGACCCCTAACTTTCCCCATATACAAAAACTAACCAAGATAAATTAAATATTTAAATATAAGACCTTAAACTATAAAAATATTATAAGAAAACCTAGGAAATACCCTCCCTGACATTGGTCTTGGCAAATAATTTTTGGCTAAGTCTCTAAAAGCAATTGCAACAAAAACAAAAATGGATAAGTGGGATATAATTAAACTAAAGAGCTTCTGCACAACAAAATACACTGTCAATAGAGTAAACAGAAAACCTACAGAATGGGAGAAAATATTTACAAACTATGCATCTGACAAAAGTCTAATATCCAGAATAAGAAACTTGAACAAATCAGCAAGCAAAGAACAAATAACCACATTAAATAATGGGCAAAGGACATGAATAGACTCCTCAAAAGATGACACATGGGTGGCCAACAAACATATGAAAAAACTCTCATTATCACTAATCATTAGAGAAATGCAAATCAAAGTCAAAATGAGGTACCATCTCATTCCAATCAGAATGGCTATTATTAAGAAGTCAAAAAATAACAGAAAATAGTGAGGCAGTGGAGAAAAGGAAAAGCTTATACACTGTTGGTAGGGATGTAAATTAGTTCAGCCAGTGGAAAGCAGTTTGGAGATTTCTCAAACAACTTAAAATAGGACTACCATTCAACCCAGCAATCCCATTACTGGGTGTATATACCCCAAAGAAACTGTTTACCAAAAAGACACAGGCAGTCATATCTTCATTGCAGTGCTATTCACAACAGCAAAGACATGGAATCAACATAAGTGCCCATCAACAGTGGCCTGGATAAAGAAAATATGTACATATACACCATGGAGCATTGCACAGCCATAAAAAAGAACAAAATCATGTCCTTTGCAGCAGCATACATGCAGATGGAGGCCATAATCCTAAGCAAATTCCACAGGAACAGAAAACCAAATACCACATGTTCTTACATATAAGTGAGAGTTAGGCCTTGGGTACTCATGGATATAAAGATGGGAACAGTAGATACTGTGGACTACTTGAGGGAGCTGACAAACTGCCTACTGGGTATTATATCCACTACTTGAGTGATGGAATCTGTACCCTAAACCTCAATATCCTATAAATATATCCATGTAACAAACCCATGCATGTATATTCCCTGTATCTAAAATTAAAGTTGAAATTTAAAAAGTGAAATTGCCAATATTAACGGTTAATGACATAAAAATAGCAACTTACTATGATCAAATTCAAAAATGGCAATTTCATATGTTCAATTAAATACTTCTTGAGAAACAAATAATACAAAAAATATAAAAAGTTTTAAAGTAGCTTATTGTCAGACAGATTTGGCTTTATAAGGGGTTAAAAATGTCTTCATATATACCTGTATATTATAAAATTACATATATAATAAAAGTCTGATAAAACACAGTAAGTCTATGGTATGTGTTAGCTCTTTCCCTTGTTCCTGGGGTCAAAGGTTGCCACTTTATTATACTCTGCACATTAATTGAGTTCCAAATTATTAAGATAAGTGCAAGCTTTGGTACTGGAAAGGTATTTATGTCTTAAGGTACAAAGAAAGTGGATAGGAGAGATTGAAAAAAGTGTGTCTCTCCAGAAGGGACCTTGGTAATATCTTCGTTCTTAACAGACAGGGAAGATGAAGCACACATAGCTGATTAAGTAGAGCTGGGGCTTGGTCACATCCTCTTAGACTTCCAGTCTCACATTCTTTCCAACAGCAGCATAGTGCCTTGCATATTCTAAGTGGTAAATGAATATGTATTGATATTATTCAATCAGTGCATAGAACAATGTAGCTACTTACTTTTATAAAAGTTGGTTTCCACAAGATAAGTGAAACATTCACTTGGCTCATGTCAGAAGGAGTGAGATTACATGTGATGGTAGCAAATTTACATGGATTGCAGTCCTGTTTAAATGTCCAGAGATACATATCAGTATTCTTGCCATTTTATCAAATATACTATATTTAAATACTTCAGATGGTTTTTCTAGATTGATATCAATTTTATTCATTTGGAAAGCAAAAGGTAAAAATAGCACTTGTCTTAATTTACCAGAATTGTGCCTTGTTTGAGATGGTCAGTTGATGTAGTCATTTTCTTTCCAGAGTCTATACTGAAAGGATCCTCAAAGATATGGGGTCTGCAGTTTGCATTCTAGAAATGAAAATATTACATTTATTAGACAATGCCAGATATCAGAGGAAAAAATGACTTGCAGCAGTAGTGTGAAGAATCTGTGAATGACAGCCATTGCCATATATTAAAGATCCATCTTTGTAAGTGTGCTATATGGAAAAGGTTGTTGTGCACCAGCCATACATACATATATATTCACCCCAAGATAATATGTATTGTTACCATGCTACTCTTGAATTGTAGTGGACACTAGTGAGGTTGTTATGGAAAAGAAAGAATGCTAATAGAAGTTACTATTACATGATTAATACATTCATTAATTTATTACTTTAATCAAAGATAAGCTTATGAATTCTATACTACAGAGAGAGAAAAATATTTAAAATTCTACTGATAAAAACAAAAACAATTGCCAGACATGGTGGCTCACATCTGTAATCCTAGCACTTTGGGAGGCTGAGTGAGGCGGGTGGATCACCTGAGGTCAGGAGTTTGAGACCAGCCTGGCCAACATTGTGAGACCCCCCCATCTCTGCTAAAACACAAAAATTAGTTGGGTGTGGTGGTGAGCACCTGTAGTCCCAGCTACTTGGGAGGCTGAGGCAGGAGAATCATTTGGACATGGGAGGCGGAGGTTGCAGTGAGCTAAGATCGTGCCATTGCACTCCAGGCTGGGTGACAGAGACTGTCTCAGAAAAAAAAAAAAAAAAAGAGAAGGAAACAAAAACAACAAAAATACTTGTTCAATATTATGGCTCATGAAACAATTGAAAAGAGAGGGACCTTCATCTGTACTTACGTATTCATCCAATAATACTTTTGATTCCCTACACACCAAGGATAAGGCACTCAGTCTACACAGGAGGAAGACGTAAGCAGACAACCCGATAGATGTTAACATATTATGTTTAAATCCTATGTTTATAAGACAGCTGGTTCTAGACTTAACCTAGTAAACCTTTTGCTTCCCCAGTACTCTCAACCCTTGATAAAAGTTAGTAAGATTAAAGTTTCCTAAGCAGTATGAAAAGTACAATTTTTTTTTTACTCTTCTGGATTTTCACAAACCTGCCTTTTTGGATTAGAGGGAAATTCCAGAGGCTTATTTTTTCTTTGCCCTTAGGAAAAGATTTAAGTGGTCACAAGCCAATTAGCACTGTTGCTATTTCTTGATTTCTGAGAATACTTTTAAAAATGCCTGAAAAGAGGCCGGGCGCGGTGGCTCACGCCTGTAATCCCAGCACTTTGGGAGGCCGAGGCCGGCGAATCACAAGGTCAGGAGATCGAGACCACGGTGAAACCCTGTCTCTACTAAAAATACAAAAAATGAGCCGGGCGAGGTGGCGGGCGCCTGTAGTCCGAGCTACTCGGGAGACTGGGGCCGGAGAATGGCGTGAACCTGGGAGGCGGAGCTTGCAGTGAGCCAGGATCGCGCCACTGCACTCTAGCTTGGGCGACAGAGCAAGACTCCGTCTCAAAAAAAAAAAAAAAAAAAAAATGCCTGAAAAGACAGATTTTCAAATTCTGAAATCATGCACACATTAATTCAATACTTACGATGATTTTTTTGTTTTAGACACTAAACCATAATGAACTATCATATAGTCTCATTCAATGCTAAAAATATAAAGGGGGTGCAATATTGCTATTATTTGGGATGTGAGTAAATACAATTATACTATTTTGTTTGCAGCTGTGCATGTTTAGGCACAATTAAGAAGCCACTTTATAGAGTTGTTTGATTACCACAAACCAAGGAAAAGGGTAACAAACATTTCATAACAATGGATTATCTAAAATCTGCTCTAGTGGATTGAACAGTGGTCCCCAAAGATATACCTAAATCCTCCTAGAACTAGTAAATGTGACTTTACTTGGAAATAGGGTCTTTGCAGATATAATTATATTAAGGATCTCCAGATGAGATCACTGGATTTAGGGTGGACCCTAAATCTAATGACGAGTGTGCAGAAACCCAAAGAGAGAAGGAGAACACACAGAAACACAGAGAAGGCCATGTGAAGACAGAGGCAGAGATAGGAGTTATGCTCCCGCAAGCCAAGGAATGCCTAGGGTTGCCAGCTGTCACCAGAAGCTAAGAAAACAGCATGAGAAAGAGTCTCTCTTGAGCCTTCAGAGGGAATTAACACTGTCAACACCTTGATTTTGGACTTCTGGACTCCAGAACTGTGAAAGGATAAATTTGTGTTGTGTTAAGTCACTTGATTTGTGGTAATTTGTTACAGCAGCCCTAGGGAATAATACATCTATTAGTATTTGCTTTAAATTATCTCAATACCTGTCCATGTTACTTCGGTAAAACTCTTTATTACAAGTATCATGCCAAACAAAAGGCTTAAACATAAAGTGGAAAAGATAACAGTAATGACATAATTCCAAGGCACACATGACTTACATCAGAAGATGACAATCCAGTTGGGTACAGCACAGGATAACCATTTGATGTCATGTTGGGGAATGAAATTGACAGCTTAAGTTCTGGCATTGGAAAAGATCCACTTTTTCTAATCTACAAGAAAAAAATGGAAATGTAATCTTTCTTCCTCTTTTAATAGAATTCTTTCTGTCTTATGTAGGACTTTGTTTTCTAGCTGATGAAGTAAGTTGTGTAATATTTTGAATCCCCAAATGAATGTAGAGCCTTTATGGTGCTGTACAGAGAATTGGCATAATTCAGCTAGCAAGAAAATACGGACACTTAACAATCAGTAGCTGTATATATCAGCTATAATCATGTTGTTCCTCCATCCCCCAGTTCTCTTAATAGACCTGGGATTAATAGAAAAACAGAATTGGAAGTTTTTATCTGTTATTATGTTCTTGCCATGCTCATTTTTTTTTTTTTTTTTAAAACATACCACTCTTTTTGAAACTGGAAAGAAGGGAGGACCATGGAACAATTTAGATTTTTGGTTGCCTTTACCCAGTTTGACATAATTCCCTAAACCCATAAATCATCTCTAATACTGGCTAGATGGGATGTGCCACTACTACACAGGCAAACCAGACTCCCATCTGCTTCCCTTCACAATTCTACCCCCAGCTAGGGCTACTGTGCCACTGGCTGTTGATAATCTGGTTTTATGAGAGTCAGATTAATTGTCTCCATTCGTTTTTATCCACTAACCCAAAATTTCCACTTAGCATCATGTTCTGCTACCAGTAGTGAGTATAGCTCAGAGGAAAACATGGGCAGGATGAAGTTCAACAGGAAACTGAACTCACTATTCAGAGGTCTTTGCCTGCTTAGAAGGTGCAACTGAACTGGGACAACCAGGTGCAGTGGTCCCCTTCCCACTGCTGAAGCATAATCTGCAGGCCCGAAGCTTACGGCATCCCTGTGCAGCATCTTTACCTGGGTAGGGAACCCCTTGATCTACATAGATAGATGCAAGGAAAGCCAGTGATCTACCCAACTGAGCCTTCCAGACTGATAGCTCCTCAGATCTGAAGCAATTTCCTGGGTTGGTAAAGATTAAATACATCCTTTAGTCCTGGAATTCCGGGGGTTTCTGACTAGCTGCGCCTGGACCTTTAAACATGCTCCCTAACTCTTATCTTCCTGATTTCCAGTCACATTCTGTTTCCTGATATTCAGTCAGAAATCCTGTGTTCTGTAATTACCATTTTTTTTTTTGATTAAAATATGTTCCTTGTAGAAACATTGGAAAATACTGAAAATAAACAGAAAATAAAAGTTTCCTATACTTCAACTACCTTGGTAACATTTTAGTGTATGTTACCGGTCTTTACTATTTACATATATGCATATTTATAAAATTTGTATCACAATAAAATACAAAGTTTCGTACCCTGTCTGTAAAATGTATTATGCTATAGCATTTTCCTTTAAATGTATAAGTTTATTGAGAATATGACTGCTCATAACAACCACAATATCAATATTGTTGACTATGTGCCACACACTGTGCTCATCTTCTTATACGCATTATTGCCTTTAACCCTGTTAACAACTCCAGGAAGCAGATTCTCTTATTATCTTTGTTTTTTCTCTGAGGTAAGAAGGTTGGAATGAAAATTAAGAACTTCGAAGATCACAAAGCTAGTAAATAGCAGCATTATGGTTTCTTACACCAAAATGTGCCTTCTAAAATATTACATGTGGGACTGTAAACTAGTTCAACCATTGTGGAAAACAGTGTGGCGATTCCTCAAGGATCTAGAACTAGAAATACCATTTGACCCAGCCATCCCATTACTGGGGATATACCCAAAGGATTATAAGTCATGCTGCTATAAAGACACATGCACACGTATGTTTATTGTGGCACTATTCACAATAGCAAGGACTTGGAATCAACCCAAATGTCCATCAGTGACAGACTGGATTAAGAAAATGTGGCACATGTATACCATGGAATACTATGTAGCCATAAAAAAGGATGAGTTCATGTCCTTTGTAGGGACTTGGATGCAGTTGGAAACCATCATTCTCAGCAAACTATCACAAGAACAGAAAACCAAACACCGCATGTTCTCACTGATAGGTGGGAATTGAACAATGAGATCACTTGGACACAGGAAGGGGAACATCACACACCAGGGCCTATTGTGGGGAGGGGGAAGGGGGGAGGGATAGCATTAGGAGATATACCTAATGTAAATGACGAGTTAATGGGTGCAGCACACCAACATGGCACATGTATACATATGTAACAAACCTGCACCTTGTGCACATGTACCCTAGGACTTAAAGTATAATAAAAAAAAAAAGAAAAAAAATTACATAAAGTCTCTCCATTGAATATATGATAATCTCTTCACTAAATATATGATAATTTATTTAAGTAATTTCATTGTGTTAAGTGTTTAGATTGTGCCTATATAATTAGTTTTTAAACTATTATAAATAACATTGTTAAGAACATCCCTGAAATCTTTGTTTCTATCACCAAAAATTTCCTAGGGAAAATTTCTAGCAGTAAACTTACTGAGTTTCACCTTAAAAAAAAGTTCTTTTAAAAAACTCCGTTATTCCAATTCTAGAATTTACTTCAGCAAAATAATCAGAGATACGCACAAAGTTTTGTGATCAGGAATATTCCTAGCAATGTAATTCATATCAACACTTTAATAAGAGAGAGTACCTATTTCAAATCTGGACCCTAGTAAGTTACAATATATAAAGATCTACAACAAAGTCTTTTTGTTTTCTTTCTTTTTTTGCTGAATTTTCTAGTTCAGGGAAAGTGAATGGGGCTGGAGAAATCTGATAGCCTGAATTCCAAAAATCTATCCTGGAATCCAGTAGAGTGATTAGCATTTATGCTAATTTCCAGGGTATATCTTGTCATAGGAATTCTAGCAAAGAGTACACATTTTAAAAAATGAAATTAATCTTGGGAGTATGTGTTTATTTATATTTTGTGAGATAACTTTTTTTGGGGGTTGGCAATTCCCAAAGGGATTGAGGCTATTTTCATTTATAATTTTGTTGCATTATCTCATATTTTTGAATACATATTTAATCTATTATTTGAATTGTGTTCTCTTTTTTCCTTGAGTAATTTTAACTTGAGTCTGTGTCAGTAACTAGCCATTACCTAAAATAAAATTCCACGATTGTTTGCCATAGTGGTTAGGAAGAGTTTGTTATGAAGGATTTAAAAGGAAAAATAAATGTAATAGAAAGCATCACTTAAGGAGGTGGTAGTACCAACATGAGTGATTGATAGTACAATGCATGTGAAAGGCAACAATAAGGAGAACATGATACATATTTATTTGTTGCGTAAAAAAATTTGCCAAGACAATTGTGATAACAAATTTCTGATATAGTCATAATTAATGAAAACGTACTTTTTTCAGTCAAACTGGAAAAATAATGCAAGTAAAGTCTACAGGTTTATTGGTAGCATCTATCTAGTTCCATAGTTTATATTTTTTTCTAGAAAGCCATTCTAATGGTATGTCATTTTGAGGAAATTAGAGACTTAGATCTCTAAATTGATTTGAAAATATAATTATCACAAATTTAAACATTCAGTGGAATTACAAAGAAAAACATAAATGGAAAATTATAATTATATATAATATGCTTATATTTATATTTATGAAATTATAAAGAAAATATGCTGGAATATAGAGACTAAACATTGAAGGAACATGTTTTTATGCATCTGTTAATATTTTAATTTATATATTTACAAATAATTCCATTAGAATACTATTTTAGAGGTAATTTCTTACCAGGTAGAAGATATTAATTTCATTTCCAATGTCCTCCGTAGAATTAATAACTTCAGGGACTGTCTCATTGGCAGCAATTGAAATGTGGTATTCACTTGCAGAGCTTAAAAGAATTAATTAGAAGAAGAAAAATAAAACATAATAAAGTTTAACTTTTATTTGGCCTCATTATTTTCTTTCTCCATATCATGTAATTCTACAAAAATATTTGTAGGGATTTCAAATCACAGGGGAATTCATTTACCTTGAAAGCTAAAATTAAATCTTTGAGGAGAGTGAAAAAGATTATATAATTTAGTTCAACAGTCACTGATGCTTATTTGTCCCCAAAATGCTAGAATATGAGTTTTAAAAGTTAAAATTTCATTGTTAACAAGTGAAAATTTTCCATAAATTCACTAATACCATTTATACCTACTGAAAAATGAAGTTAAAATGTAATGCTGAATTATAAATAGATTTAAAATTTTTGCCATTTCATAATTTAAAGTCCTATATTTACTGCTAAACTTAAAAGTTCAATCTTCTCCACACAGTCACCATCTTCTTTGGATGAACTTGGTAGAGTAAAATAGCATGTTTTTAAGCCGCACTTCAGTCAAGGGAAGACAAAAATATTTTTAAGTGTTCGCCAAAATTTGATTTTAAGTAAATGGAAAACTCTTGGGGAAAAGTCAGTGCATCAATAGAAGTGCATACAGAAAAATAGAAAACAGCCAACAGAATTTAAAGGCTGAGAAATATTAGCAGAATCTATATGTATATCCTATAATCATGCCATTTTTGTAGTCTCCAGTTAGTACAGAGAGAGTGCCATAGATAATAAATGAAGCCAGAAGGAAGATATTGAATGTTCCCAATGCAAAAAAAGATAAATGTTTGAGACGATGCATATTCTAATTACCCTATTTAATTGCTATATATTACGTGCATCACAACATCTCCAAGCACCTTATAAGTATGTACAATTATTATGTGTCAATTTAAAATAGTTTTCAAATTAAAAGAAAAAAAAAAAAAAGCATGTGAAATGGTTTAAACTAACACTTCCTGAATATATAACCTTGGGTAAATTAGCCTCTCCGAACCTCAAATTCTTCAACTGGAAAATGGAGATAGTAGTTGTATTTGAACCATAGCATTATCATAAGGATCAGATAAGACAGAACACAAAGGCTCAATAAATGTTAGCCACCATTATTAAAAAATTAATAAAATGATAAGACTTTTAGAATAAACCAACTTGCCAATGATTCTTATACTTTATATATACATTGCACATGTTTATTTAGCAAAAGCTTGGAGTTCTGCTTAAGCAGGGAAAATTATAGAGAGAAAGTTTGTTAACATGGTTTGTGTTTGGATAGATAAGAAGTTCTTAAGAGAAAGAATGGTTTATGAGTGGTGGAAGAAATAAATAGTTCTTATCAATGAGAAATGCTTTAATCTTGTGTGTCCAGATTGAGAAGACTGATCAGCTTCCACAGGATGAGAACAATGACCAAGAAATATGCTGGTGGCCTCTAAGAAAATATTGTGTTTTGTGTAGGATTTTTGGGTCTTCAACTTGCATTCAGGAGTTAATGCTGGACAGCGAATGCAATCTGGAATCATTAACACCTAACATTTTGGGTTATGCATTAGGATGCATGAGAATTACCTGGAAGGCTTGTTTAACCCCGTCCTCTGAGTTTCTGATTCGGTAGGTTTCGGGTGGGGCCAGAGAATTTGCCTAACAAGTTTCCAGGAGATGCTGATGCCCTTGGCCAGCCAGGGACCACACTTTCAGAACCACTGGGTTAATAGAAAGGCATCAACATAAAAATGCAGTTTTCTCTTACCTGTAAAACTGTAGTCCAACTTCATATTTTACCGGAATAGAAATGTTTACTACATTATCAGAAAGGGTTTCAGGAGGTTCTTCACTGTCGCTAGAAAATACACAGCACATTCAGACAAACCATTAAAATCTTGACTATTTAGAGATATTTCTAAGTGTTTAAAGAGAAGCTTGCCCTGGCAACTAAATAAAAGCATCTAAGAGTATAATTTTTAATTATTTTTTAAATTGGGGTGAAGAAGGAGATCAGAAATGATTGGTATGGTTGAAAGTTCCCAAGTTGATTCTGATGTGCAACTAGAGTTGACAATCACACTGACTTACGTTTTTCAAAATTTTATGACTATAATGATGAGAATCCCTGGGTTTAATTGTTAAAATACAGAGATAACTGGGCTTCCCTTAGAAATGTGGATGTAGTGGTTCCAACTTGGGGCCCAGGAATTTCTGTTTTTAACCACATATCTACCCCCAGGTGATTCTTATTTATCACAGATGAGGACTTAGCAAAGATAAGTGATTAGGGTCACACAGCTGAGAGTAAATCTAAAATCTTTTGTTTTCTTCTTTAATAGTCTTTCTATACTAAGTACTTGATGATCATATTATTTGTTAAGCACTGATTTATTCCTTTGATTTTGGTTATCACTTTAGTTACATATTATGTAAACACATGTATATATGTGTATCCACACATATACATACTTCCTCATATTAGAAAGCACATACAAATGATACAATGAGTAATGAACACTGGCTCCGGGGCCAGAGAATGGGATTGTTCTTGGACACTGATATATGTTGGTCAAATTACTTATCTGTCTTTGCCTTGGTTTCTTCATCTATAAAATGGGATATTAAATGAGTAATAAATGATGATTAAATGAGTAATAAGTATAAAGTGCTTAAGACTGTGCCTAGGACATAGGAAATCTTCAGTGTTAGCTTTCATTATTACTATCACACATACCCCTCCACCAACTGACCAAGCACCTAACATATTGTCTCACAGAATGGGCATAAGAGTACTTTTTAATGACTCTGGTTATTCCCAAATGTGTAAAGTGGCTCAGAAGCAGCAGGACAGAGAAAGCTAGCATGCTGCCTTGGATTATAGGTATTTGTGTGACCCAGCTCTTAGCGTGAATGGTCCCCTTTTCTCTCACCCATTCCACACAGAGCCTTCCTAAATCAGTCTCCATAAGCAGCAGCTCTGTACAGATGACTTTACCTCTCAGAAACTTTACTGGCTTTTCACGGTCTGTTCAATTCAGAAATAATACCTTGACTGACATTCAGTGCCTAGCGTAATATGATAGAATGCACACTTCCTGCTTATTTTCATTGCTACTTTATGTATTCTTTATGTTTCAGCTAAAATTGATAACCTTTTTAATTAAGCTGTATATTTTGCCTGAAATGCTCCACCTAGTGCTATTCACTGACCTCTCTGTGAAAGGCTGTCTACCCTTCAACGTCTTTCTCAATTATAATTTCCTTGATAAAGCTTTCTTGGGTTCCCATTGCCAAGTAGATATTATTTCAGCTTCCAGTAATTTTCTGACACAGCTTTATATCTCTATAATGGATTGTTTTTATTCTATCCCAGGTTACAATAATTTTATACTAGTCTCAACCTCCTACTGTAATACTTACCTTATGTAATTTTTATATTCCTTACAGTGACTAATTCAATATCAGTGACCGATTCAATGTCTTGTGCATAATAGTTGTCAAATAAATGTTTGTTGAGTTGACTTAATGTACAGAATTAATCCATTAATTCATTTCTCCAATTTATTCATTTAGTCTACATCTATGTAGTGATTATAATATGGCAGGCACAATGTTAGTCACTGTGAATAAAACAGTAAAAGACACTATCTCACTGGAGACAGGTCAGTGGATAAATACAATTGGAAGAAAGACCACTATTTCACTTTCCTTATTGGGCCTTTGCTGTTGTTATTCTGTGTGTTCTATGATACCTTTCAGAAGTTCTGACTGATTTGAATAAAGTAGATTAAATTACAAAAGGATATCACAAAACTTTAAGTCCATCTAATGATTCATTTGACCTCGATGGGCAGTCAGTGAAAGTTTTTAAATTATCAGTAAATTTTTTGTGAATTTAAATGCAATTTGGCAGATATAAATGATATGTGATTATGGTATCTTCTATAGCTCATTGATTTAATCTAGTTAGGTGAATGATTTCTATTAAATGAAAATTTCTTTATTTTACTAATCATTCATAAGGGTGTTTTTGTGAAGCAAAGTGGTTAATTGCCTTCCACTTCTACTGATCTCCTACAACCTGGAAGAAACTGTCAGTGAGTTTATAGAGCAAAATACTCAAAATACACAGAAGCAGCGATATACATTCATATACTTATATTTATACACATGTAAACCCACCTTGTTGCATTTAAATAAATGGTCACATTTTCCATGAGATAGGATGTGTTAAACTGAAACAATATTTTGAAAGTTACCTATAAAATAAAAATAAGTCTTTAGTAACAGATAAGAAATTGTTTGCTTTGACTAAAATATTCAATTTCCACAAATGACATTACCTAAATTCAAATTATGAAGTTATTTGAGGAACATTGTCTTACAAAATGAAACCTTATTGTATCTCAAAAATAGAATAATATATAATATATACCTTTTTTTCAATGTGAATGTGTACCATGTTTTACATATTGCTATGATGTGAATGTTTCCCCTCAAAATTCATGTGTTGAAACCTAAACACCAATGTGATGATATTAGGTGACGGGGCCTTTGGGCAGCTGATGAGATCATAAGGGCAGAGCCTGCATGAGTGGGATGAGTATCCTTGTAACAGGGGACCCAGGAAGCTGCCTCTCTGCTTCTGCTATCTGAGGATGCATCGAAAAGACGTCTTCTATGAAGCAAGAAATGGGCCCTCACCAGACACTGGATCTATCAGTGCTTTTACCTTGGACTTCCCAGCTTCCAGAACTGTGAGAAATAAACTTCTGGTTTATAAGCTACTCAGTTTATAGTATTTAGTTATAGCAGCCAGAATAGACTAAGAAACATGTTAAATAAAATGTATAGGAGGTCACTGGTTTGGACTGAGCTCTTGCTCTAGGCCCAACAGACTAAATAATGCTTAAGTTCCACACCATAAAGCCGAAATTGAATCACTTGTCTGAATTTTTGAGAGATGAGGAAAGTGAGAGATAATCACCAAATCCCCAGTCAAGCCAGTTTCAGACAGCATGATAAGAAAATCCCCTCTACTTTCACTTTTACAAGGAAAATAACTTTGAAATGACCAATCAACTTTTCGTTCTGTTTCTGCTTTCTTTAGACCTTTTCTGTCTGTAAAGCCAATATCCTCTCCTCAGCTCTTCCACCACTCATTTTATTTTACAGAATAAGGTGTTGCCTGATTGTAGAACAAATAAAAGTCAATTAATATTTGGACACTAAATTCATTCCATAGAAAAAGAAAGTAGATTAGTGGTTGCCTGGGATTGGGAGAAAGGCTGTTGAGGAAAATCAGAGTGACTGCCAATGCATATGTGGTTTCTTTGTGGTGTGTGAAAATGTTCTAAACTCAATTGTCATAATGACTGTACAATTTATAATTTGGTGAATGTACTAAAATCCAATGAAATACACACTTTGAATGAGTGAATTCTATGCTACATGAATTATATCTCAATAAGGCAATTGGTTTTTAAAAAGAGAGAGATGGAAGGAGAATTTCTGAATTAAGTTCTACACCAATCTATTTGAAGCATTCTTTTTCTTGAAGGCCAGAGACACTTACTACCTAGGAGACTCCAATAACAGAATCTCCCAGCTCCATTTTATGAGATATGTTATCTAATATAAATTAGATATGTTACATAGTATAAACTTTAAATCTTGTCTTGGTGTTTGAGTTTGCCTGTGTGAGAAGTGTTACAAGGTTGTTACAATATGTTTCTGTTATTTATAAATTGCCTGGTATAACGTATTGTGTACCTTATACCTTGTACAAAATACCTTGCACCAGGCAATTTATAAATAACAGAAATATTTTGCTCACAGTTCTGAGGGTTGGGAAGTCCAAGATCAAGGCACCAACAGATTCAGTGTCTGGAAACACCCAGTTCTTATAGATGGTACCTGCTATGTGTTCTCACATGGTAGAAGGGATGAACAGTCTCCCTCAAGCCTCTCTGATGAGGGCACTAATCCCTTATGGGAGCTCCACCCTCTGGACCTAATGACTTCCTAAAGGCCTCATCTTTTACTACTATCACATTGGGGATTAAGTATTAACATACGAATTTTGTTGGGGCACAAACATTCTGATCATAGCATATTCCAATCTGTCACAATTTTGAACTGAACATTTTTCATCTGTATTATCCTAAACTACCATTGGAAGGATTTATATGTTTGTCTTTGCACATACTACTTTTCATATTCAATTTCCACATGTATTTTGTATAACCTGCTCACCATCTCTCCTTTTCTCAGGAAGGGATATCCAACTTTACATGTGATATTATGATTGGATTCACAACTGTCTTTTTGGATAGCCTAGGAAGAGAAAGTAAACAGAATCAGAGCGGACAAGCAGCTGAAATACTGAAACGTGTTCTTTCAGAATTTTCCCAGATGTGTCTTGGTGACTGCCTTGCCAATATTTTTGTCTTGATTTAGCTGGAAGAGGCACAGAATTCTGGGACCAGCTGTTCTACACTCATGGAAATCCTAAAACACCACTTGTGGGTGCCTGAAAGACAAAGCATATCTCACAATCCTGCCTACATCTTCAGTTTTAAAATGGAAGTACTAATAGCACCCCCCTCACAGGGTGATTGCGGTGGCTGCATAAAATAATCCACACACCCAAGACTGGCACAGAGCAGCCTTCATTGAATGTCAGTCATTGGAGGAGTTTAGTGCAGTGGATAAGAGCATAGGCTCTGACCCATGACCACCAGAATTTAAACCCTGACTGCACCACTGTTAGCTTTATCCTTGTTAAGATTCCTCACCTCTCTCGGACTGATTTTCTTTCAAGTGGTTTAGTCATATACTCTATTTTGTGCAATTTAAAATGCCATTGAACATGAGATATGCCATTATTTTTACATACCCATAAGAAGGAAAAATAACACTGCCAGGTAAATAAACATGTTATCAATTGTAAAATGCAATTACAAGAATGTTAAAACAGGAAAAAAAGGTTTTAGCTTCACATCTCTGCAGTACAGTCATACCTACTTACAAAATAATTAATGAAAATTAAATAAGTGAAATCCTTAGAACAGGGCCTAAAACATGATGTGACTCAATAAATGGTTGCCATCGTTATTACCATTGTTATTGATAATATACACAGAAGAGATGCACTGTCAGATTTTTAGCTATGCCTCTCTGCCAGGCCATTAAATCAGCTAAGGAGGATATAGGCAATAGTTTTCAATAGAGAATAAATTTGTGGTAATATTTTCCCCAAGATTACTTTGTACATTTATATTTATAATTTTAATAATAATTGAGACAGAGTCTTGTTCTCTCTCTGTCACCCAGGCTGGAGCGATCTCGGCTCACTGAAACCTCCGCCTCCCAGGTTCGAGCAATTCTCCTGCCTCAGCCTCCCGAGTAGCTGGGACTACAGGCGCATGCCACCATGCCTTGCTAATTTTTTGTATTTTTAGTAGAGACGGGGTTTCACTGTGTTAGCCTGGATGGTCTCAATCTCCTGACTTCATGATCCGCCCGCCTCAGTCTCCCAAAGTGCTGGGATTACAGGCGTGAGCCACTGTGCCCAGCCTATAATTAATATTCTTAATTGAATCCAAAATATAGTAATATAGGACATTATTTTTAGGTTTGTGTTAGTCATCATGTCTCTAAGTGACATCCTAATAGATAGAGAGAAATGTCCGTGAAATCTGAGTTTACAGAAAGTAGACAATAGTGTTTTAATACTATGTATAATATGAATAAGTGCATTGTTTTTAATATAAATTGTACGTAATATTAATTAATATAAATATACACAAAATTTTAACTCAGTGGGATTCATTTGGAGATCAGAATTAAAAGCAAAGTTCAAATTTGGAAACGCTGATTACCTCTGATACATCTTACACAGATTAATATAGTTTTTTTGCCAACATAATAAAAGAAACTTCTGTTACGAATCAATAAGACACAGTTATTTAATACAAGTATCTTGCCAAAGTAAGGACTTTGCATAGAAAGGGATATATGATATCTTGATTTTCCTGCAGGTAAAATTGTTTTGCTCAACACAGAGGGAACTCTCTGTACCTCTGTTAAACTGTTTTGGCTTTGATTGTTGTTGTTTTCCTTGACTCCGTTTCAGTTTCAGTGGTTTCAGGATTTTGTAAAACATACAATTTTTATACATGAGCTATCCTTTCCTCATACAAAATCTAAGAAAAGACATACATATTTGAATAAATAAAACTTTTTTAAAAAGCTTAATGCTTTCACCATTGGTGAGGACTAATGTAAAAAATTCCTTCTATTCTTTTAAAATCAATCTAATAAAAGCAATTATCTCAGTAGCATGAAAAGTAGGCTCGGTAAATGACTGTTAAGAGAATAAATAAATGAAAAACTAGAAGTTTACCTCAATTCCTGAAAAAACTAGATTTGGAGAATAATGCACTATTGTCCTGGTGTTGTAGGCACTGTCCTTTGTATTTTTGACTGTGAGGCTAACATTGAACTTATCATTCTGGGACCGGACAATTAGCAGGTCCTTTTCTGTGGTGGCGACATGCAGGCTGAGGTCCGAGATACATTTTTCCTTGTTTCCACAATCTTTGGCAAAAGGAATCTGAAATGATGACAGGAAAGAATTTTTCAAAATTTCGCTATGCATTATTGAAAATTACCCATCAATTTGTGTAACAAAAATGGCATACAGCCAAAGTAAGTTAAGTAACTCATACAGAAAATTTCCCTGCAAAAATCTTAAGGGATTTTATATTTATCCCTATAATTTAAAGGGGAGAAGAATAAACATTTACTTACGAATGTAAATTGTGCTAATCCTTTTAAGAATGAACAATTTTCATGGGTGCTTTGTACTGGCTTTTGTCTGCCAGGGAAGGGTAGTTTTGAAATACAAAGTCAAGTACTGCAAGATCTAAATCTATTCAACTCTAATTATGAGATTTTTCTCTTAAAATCAATCAAATACTTAGGAATGTCATAAAGCTCAGTTGAGAGGGTGGAAAACGGTCAAGCCACAAATCTAGGAGTTTCGCTTGATTCTTCTTCATTGACAGCCTCTCCACCACCACCATATGTAACTCACCAAGCCCTGTCCATTCTACTCCTCTTCTAAATATCTCTCCAATCCTTTCTTGCTTTTGCATTCCCACCACCATCTCTCGCCCAAGCATTCTCATTTCCTCCCCGAACTAAAGTAACAGCTTCCCACTGGGCTCCCACATCCACCTGTTTCCCTCCAACCACTCTTCACTCTGCTGCATCCTGTCCCGTGACTGAACCAAATAAAAAGCTTCAAAACACCGCGCTGCTCTTTCAAAAGTTTAGAATTTGTGCAGCGGCACCAAGTCCCGAATGACATGGCCCCTGCCTTTACCTCCAGCCTCACCTCACATCCCCTCCTTTTTTGCTCTTTAGTGTCAGTCACACTAGCGAGTGTCGTTGTTCCCTTCATGCTCAGGACTTTCACACTTAGCATCCCCTCTGCTCCCCAAACTCCCCTGAATAGGGTGGAAATCGCCCTATCCTTCAGGGCTCCACTGAAATGGCACAACTTCAGGAGGGCTCTCCTGACTTCCCAGCCTAGGTGGAAGTTCCCGTAGAGCTCTGAAATCCTCCTCCATAGCATACGCTCTAATTACTACTTAATACCTGTTTCCAGTGTTAGATGGTAAGTTCCAATGCCTGGTGTGTATAAGATAATCAATATATCTGGTAGGAAGGAAGAGAGAGTGGAAGAGAGGTGTATGGGGAAAAAGAATTCCCCATCCCTAATGTCTCCTCCACTGGAGCCACGCTAGTGACACCCTCCCTCTTCTCTCCCCTCACTCACTCTCAGGGGTGGCACATGGACTCTAACTTTGGGAACAGGAACTAAGTGAACACAACTCAGTCCCTTTCTCTCGTTTCTATTCTCAGAGCAGCTGTGTACCCACAGGAAGCACACGTTTGGCTCTACTCCATCTGACAAGTTTTACAAGGTGGGCTCCATGAAGAAGGACAGAGATGGATCAGCACTGCTGATGATGTAGGTGGTTATCCGCGGTCTAAGTCAACGCTTCAGTGTGACGACTATCTTTATACCTAAACCATACACTGCAATCCAGTGCTAATTAGAATAACAGGGGAGATTTCTTTCCATTGGTCCTAAATTCAAGTGAGGTGAAAATGAGTGTCATTTATTAGTTTTCTTAAACTCCAACAATAGGAAATTAGAAGGATTGGGAAAAGTCTAGAAAAGCCTAATTCGTTTTTAAAACATTTCAAATTGATTTAGGGTTATGTGTGCATGGGTTTCAAGATTTTCCTAATGTTACCAGGGCAAACCTGGAGATATGGCTGAGAAAGTTCATTATTTTCTTAAACAGCAGATTTTGTTCATTATTTTGTTACACAGTAGAAAGTTCATTATTTTGTTCATTATTTTGAGAAAGTTCATTATTTTGTTACACAGTAGATAGTTGAGAAAGTGCATTTTTTTTAAGCAGTTTTTTTGTTTGTTTGTTTTTTTCTGTTCTATTTATCGGTAGGTAAGCTTTCTGAAAAACAACTCCAGATGGCCTGGGAGCTTCAGCACCCTTTGCCAATTACCAGAGGAAGATAAAGCCATTGAGAAAATGGAGCAAACAAGAACCAGCAACCCCTTGTTACCTTTAGATCATTAACATGTCATTATAGGGCTAAAGTCCCTGCCATAGAAGAAAATGGCCACAATTTCTTGAACATATGTCTGTATAAGGAAGCATGTTTATTGATCTGTACTTGATACATCTGGAGTTTTCTTCCTGGGACATGCTTACGATCTTATACCTCTCCTGCCCTCACATCTTAAACTCCTTAATAATTTCCCTCAGGTGGTTTCACAGCTTGAGGATAAAGGATTCGGGTCTGTGAGGAGCGGTGAGGAGAGCTTCGGAACGCTTTCTCCGATTCGCCTGGACCAGGGAATTTAAAAACGGGTCGTGTTGTTGTGCGGGCCGCTTGGGCTGCCTGTTTCTTTCTTCAGTTGGTTGTTCTTTCTTGGGGTGGACGCAATGCAGCACGGTATGAAAAAAACGACAATTGTCCCCCCCGTTCCCAAGCCGAGAGTCCAGAGTTAACTTATCGGTGGTACAATGTTAATACTTAATCCCCCCTAAAAAATAGATGATATGGATCACAAGTTATGAGAGATGATTATTGGGTATCGATGGATTGCATAATACCAATGGGGGAAATGACCTTAAGTCAATGT